CTGGCAAATCTTTTCTGCGCCCTCTCCAATTTGATAATATCTTTCCTATAGCAGGGCGACCAGAACTCAGTACAACACAGGACTCCAGAAGTGGCCTCACCAACATCATGTATAACTGCAACATGACGTCCCAACTCCAAAAGTCAATGGTCTGATCAATGAAGGCAGCATTCCCAATACCTTCTTTACTGCTCTGTCTACCTGTGATGCAACTTTCAATGAACTACGTAGTTGAACCCCATATCTCTGTTTGACAACACTACCCAGGGCCCTACCAGTTAAAACAAGGATGAGCACTTGAAATGTTATAGCATTCAAGGCAATCAGCCAAGTGCTGGAAAGTGGAACAAGCATAGATTAATTATATTTTGTAGGTGCCGAGTCGATAGGCCAAAGGATTTCTACAGTATGAAAGCTTTGTTTTCTGTGAAAAGTATTTTTTGTCGTTGTTCAAGAAATTATGCTCAATTAGCATATATTAACCACAATTTTACATCATTGCATGAAATTAAAACAGATGTTTAGATCAGCATAGAAACTATATAAACAAGATATTGAAATACAATCATCATGGTAACTACATTAAGATAAATTGTAAGTATTTTGTGGAGAGCCTAGGCCATACCAACACACATGCATTCTCAGATCTTGGAAGTAATGTTTTTGTTGTGAAAGATTTTGGAAAAGAAAGTCATGAATACAGTTTTGATTCCTTTCTTCAGAATAAGAATCTTTTGAGAGTGATGAAGTACAATAGTGATCAATTAGAAATGTTTATGATTGCTTTTTAGGACTGAAATCTATTTGAAGATGTCATATTATTTTGTAGTGGCTTTTGCTCAGTATTTATATGAATGTTAGAGTCAGAAAGAGAGTCAATTAAAGTGATTTTTTTTAATAGACACATCAAAAGCTTTCTTATTCACCAACAACCTTCAAAACATACCATGCTGGATAGAACTCCTGTGTTCCTACACCTACAAGAAGAAACAGTAGATCATTTCAATGGCAATTTAAAATTTTAGCCATGTATGATTTTTGAATATTGAAGCAATGAAATCAATTCTGTGCACTTTATTTTGATATTTATGAAAGAAAATTAATTGACTTTCACTCAGTTGTGTAGAACTTTGTCTCTCCTTTCAGCATTATGCATATATCTGAGTTTTGTGTCTTACATGCATCAGGACAAATGAAACAATGCCAAATTTAAAATGGTCAGAGTGATTTCTACTACAGGAGGTAGGCCAGTCGACTCCAATTGGTTTTGCTGTGGAGAAAATAATGAGGACCAAGATGCACCCCAAGTTCTGTCCCATGTCATTTTTTACCCTATCTTTTGCACCTCGAAACCTTCTGGACTAAATATGCTTGGTCTAAATAGCTTAAAAAGTTTGAACAAAAGCTTAAACAAGTTGTTTCATGCTAGCATTGTGCAGTGGCTACGAGTGATATTTTCTGCTTCTAGGTTGGTATGGTCAATGTAAATAGATATTCTTCCTACCACACAATTAAGCCCTGTCATGTGTGAATTTCACTGCCAGTGTGATGTCAGGTATGTAGGCCATACATCCCAATGATTGAGTCAAACAGCATATTACTTCAGTTGCTGTAAATGGGCAAACCATACTCAACTGTGCCTCACATGGAAAGTCTAAAACCGAACAATTGTTGTTCAATACAGTTCCACAATTAGTCAGCAGTTGCTGAACCATTCTGAGTGAGCTATCAGCTTCTGTGATAATTGACCAAATGATCAGTTGAGCTCTTCATGTGGCTTATTTATGCTTGTTTGAAATGACAGTGCCCAGAGCACATGGTCCTCCCTTAAATCCATCATAAACACCATTGGCAGCGGACTTTTGGTTTCTCTGTAAGGAAATTTTTATCTGGATTTGTCACTGGCCAATTGTTGTTTTAGCATAATATGAATGCACATGGTGACCTGGCAGAATCCCCAACATAACGCATTCTAAAGGACTTATCTAGGAAATTTAATTTTCCACTGGGCAATTCCTCTATGTTTGACTGTGCAGTTCCCGTTTGGAACCATCTGAAAGCCCTCACTTAAATTGGAGAGTTCTGATGAAATTAAGTGAAATAGCTATTCAGGAAAAGTTAGATTGTTAAGTATATAGTCTGACTCCAGAGTCATGACACAATATAGGTCATACATTGCTCACACCCCCAACTACACCCCTCCCAGGTCCTTGCACACCTCCCACCTGACACACCGCGCAAGATCTGACCTGACACTCTTTCTGTTGGCCATCCTACCGTCATACACTGCTGGACCTGATACACCCGCCGCTGCCGGACCTGACCCAATCTGATGCCAGCCTGCCCTGCCATCTGGCCTGATCACCTCAGCTGCCACCAGTCCCAAACTTCTCAGATTTGAAACCCTGCACCCACACCCCCAAACTGGATTCAATTCTTTCACCACTCTGATCTAAATTATGCATCACTTGTCTTGCTACCTATACCCTGGCATCCAACTGAAAAGGCACTCTCCCTCCTATCCATTTAGCATCAGTAGTATCCTACACCTTCCACAGCTGTCATGTTGCTCCCTTCTTATATGGCATCCTAAACCTGTCACTCTGCATCCTTCTCAGCTGGCGTCTTACTAACCTGGCACCCTATACCCCTACTCATCTGGCACCATACCCTCCCAGCACCCTCTCATCACATTTATCTTACCTCCGTAATGCTTGACAGCAGTTATCAATGTGGCTGTCAGGATGTTTAAATTTCCAAATACTGCAACTGACAGCTGTGAAAAGGGTTGTTGTTTGCTTTCCTTTGACAGTTCTGCATCACAAAAGAACTTACTATCTTTGTTGGAATGGAAATTGGCTTTGGATTTTTGAGGTGGCCCTAAGCAGAATTTCCTCCCAGAAATGCAGAGTTCCTTCCTTCCATAAAATGAAGGGCCTGAGTAGCAATCTGTTTGAGATTGTGTTTGCCACTCCTTGGAAAATCCAGTCCTGAAAGACTACTTTGAAGAGAATAACCAGGAGATCCAGGAATCATGAAAGTGTAAGCACATGACATTCCTGAACTGAAAGCATTACCAAAACCAGAAGGAAAGAAGGTCTACTAACAACTGTTTAATGAGAAAGCCCTTGATCTAAAGAACAGATTGTGGGTGGAAGGAGCATAGAAAAGTCAGCAATTCATCGACAACCGTAATGTGCATGAATTCTTCAGTACAATCAAGACCATAATGGCTCAAGCACCCAAGAACCCATTCCACTGAGAGCTAAGAATGCAGTGGCGTTCATTAAGGACACAGGCAGTCAGCATTTGTTAGAAGAAACACTGAACAAGAACTTGATCCTTAACCTGAGTGGATTGAGTATATTCCACAGCATGCTACCTGCTACCACTTTGGAGAACCTCATCCCATCATGAGGTTGAAAAAGCTATTCAATAAGGTCACCAGTGCAAACAGAATCCCTGCTGAAATATGGCAGATACGCATTCTTGGCACTAAACATCTCATCTCTTACCTGGAAAGAGGTTCTCTGAGTTGTCATAATTGTGACCATCGCCAAGAAAGGAGATAAGATTGATGGCGGTAATTGCAGATTGTGGTAACTTTTGTCTACTACAGGGGAGGTCCTTGAATAAATGAATAGCCTCCTCTTGGTGGTTAGAGTTTCTACCAGTGTCACAATGTGGATTCACCCATCAATAGCCTCAGAGGACATGATTTTCACAGCAAAACAATCCAAGAAAAATGCAGTGAGCAGTTGCAAACTCTGTACATGCCTCTTTGACCTCCACCAGCATGCCCCTACCACACAAAGCTGCTCGCTGTTCTGTGGTGAGACACTGGACAATGTGGATAAACTCTTATCATTTCAAAGTCAACTTTCCTCCAGTGTGTCAGCACAGCCTTTGGCCACCTGAGAAACAGAGTGCTTGGTGATAAAAGATCTTAAATCTGGAACTGGTTATATTAGACAGGGTAGCAGTGTAACTGCACTTCTCTATGCTTTGGAGACATCTACAATGTTTAACAGACACCTGGAGAAATATAATTTATGATGTCTTTACAAAATTTTGCCAATTGAATGTCAGGATAAGCGCTCCAGTATCAGTGCCCTCTTTGATGCCAGCATGTCCAGCATTGCGGCATTGACACCAGTTATGGTCAGTCAGTTGCATCAAGTGAACCACATTGTTCTCATGGGTGACACAAGACTTCTAAAACAATCTCTCACTCCGAGCTTTATCATGGCAATCAGTTACTAGGAGGCCAGAAGAAATTGCCTGAACAATGTCCTGAAAACCTTTCAACTTGGGAATCTCTTGCCTAAGACTGCCCAAATTGGAGATGAAGCATCTGTGACGATCAACCATTTCAACCATCCCTGACACATCCTAGTGGAGGCCAAATGTGAATATTGGAAGAAACATGGGAAAATCTGAGCCTTTACCCACCCATCTCATTTAATACCACTTGCCTCAACAGTTTTCTAATCCGGCATTGGACTATGTCATCACCTGGGGAGCCACAACTATGGAGTATGAAGTAAATAGTCCTCACTCCTGAGGAACAGCCTAAGAAGAACCAAGAAGTGACATCCATTCATACGTAGGGACGTGTTTTCTACAAACAGAAAGAACATGATTTTTGTTCTTTGAATCAAACAGCAATTTGCAGAGCCTATAATTCTTGGCTGCTTTCTCCATTGCAATGCTCGCCCAATCAAAGTTGACTGACCCATCAGTCGGCAGTCATTCTCCTGAAGTGTTAATGTGGTCATTTGAAATTTGACATTATTGTGTTTTTCCTGATGTGTATGACAAAAATACATCAGCAACATTTCTCACATTACAACAATGTTTAAATTGAGATAGTAGTGGAAAATGTTTTGGGATCTGGATGACAAGGCTAATGCCAGATACTTGGATTGTTGAATTTCGGATTGGCCTTCCCTCTTTTGCAACTGTCAGTTATCTTTTTATTTTTTCTTCACGAATTACAGGAAAGAGTTACAGAGTTTGCAATGTTTATACAAAGAAAGCATTGAACACGCAGCCCAGCAAGCTGAGGTCATCCAGCAGCTACAAGCCCTCAATGTGGATACGCAGAAGGTCCTGAGGAATCAGGAAGATGCTCATGCCTTGGAGTCTAGGTCTTATCAAAAGGTATGTGGTGGAACTTGTGTAAATGAAACAGATTTACAAATGTTCAAGAATTGTAAGGTGTTTGACAAATCACACGATGGATTTTCAATTTTATGAAATTGGGTTAATGTGATAGCGAGATCACTCAGCTTGTTATAGGCCATGCCTAATTTTTATTCCTTTCAGTTCATTGGAAATTGACCCCCAATCTGTTTATAAAATAAAATAATTGAACTCCTGAACTGATATTTTTGTAAAAATAGTATTTATTTTTAAAATAAGCACTTAATTAATCCTAACTTACATCAACATTTATTTTGACGTCAGTCTGAGGAGCTGAACTTTGTTTTTTGAAAGTCAAAGCAGCATTTTTTTGTATCCCTTTCAAAGGGACAAGTGAATTGCATTGTTCAAATGTATAGTGGTTTTACTAGAGAGAAAGAGAGAGAGAGATGGAGACAACTATGTAATAGCTTTCTCTCGAACATTCCTAAAATCATCCAACCTCCCTGAACCAAAAGATTAACATCATTTAATCACAAGCCACGTGGTGCAGTATTCAATTCGGTCAATGGGCTGAGGAGTGGCAGATGGAGTTTAATTTGGATAAATGCAAGGTATTGCATTTTGGTAAAACAAACCAGGGCAGGACTTATACAATTAATGACAGGGCGCTGGGTAATGTTGTAGAACAGAAGACCTAGGGGTTCAGGTACATAATTCTTTGAAATTTGTGTCACCGGTAGACATGGTTAAGAAGGCATTTAGCATGCTTGCCTTCATGGTTGAGACTTTTTTGTTGGATGTCATGTTGAGGTTGTACAGAACATTGGTGAGGCCTATTCTGGAGTACTGTGTACAGTTCTGGTTGCCCTGCTATAGGAAGGATATTATTAAATTGGGTAGGGTTCAGAAAAGGTTTACCATAATGTTGGCTGGTATAGAAGGTTTGAGTGATAAAAGTTGGCTGGATAGGTTGGGATTTTTTCATTCAAGTATAGGAAATTGAGGGGTGACCTTATACACATTTATAAAAACATGAGGGGCATAGACAAGGTGAATAGCAAAGGCCTTTTCCCTAGTGTGGGGGAGTTCAAAACTAGGGGGCATATTTTCAAGGTGAAAGGGGAAAGATTTAAAAAGGACATGAGGGGCAACTTTTTACACTGAGTGGTTTGTATGAGGAATGAAATACCAGAGGAAGTGGAGGATGCAGGTACAGTTACAACATTTAAAAGACGTTTGGATAAGTATATGAATAGAATTAGATTTTATTGTCATGTGTACTCAAGTACTGTGAAAAGTGTACAAGGCCGCCACTCACTGGCACTATCTTAAGTACAAAAATCAGAATTTTGAAAAAAGGGCCACGAAGAAAGGGAGAAGCATCCGGATCTAGAAGTATATTCTCCATGAGGTAACCTTATCGCTGTAAGGTAAGTGGGCCTCCCTCCTCAAAGCATCGGGTCTCAGTGCCACCGCGGGCCCTCGGAAGTCACACCTGCTGCCGCCGCCAGAGCCAAATGACCTTGCTTTTGCTTCCGGTGTCCCATGCTCTCAAGGGATGAGGAAGGTGCCTTTAGCTCCACTCTGAGCACGATCCTTGGCACTTCTACCAGACATTCCCCTGCTTGCCTATGCATCCCTGTCAGCTCATTCTGACTATTTATGTGTTTCTTGTAGATCACCTTGAGGGGCCGTGATCATTATTCATGCTCAAATGTGCATCATATAGAGCAGTGGGGAAAGGTTTGGAGGGATATGAGCCTAACACAGGCAAGTGGGACTTGTTTGTTTGGGAACATGGTCGGCATGGGCTAATTGGACCGAAGGGTCTGTTTCCATGCTGTATGACTCTTTGACTCTGTCCTCCATGCACTTTGGAACTGGCTAGATTGGGATGATGTTTAAAGGGAAACCTTTTGAGGCACCTCTCACTAAAGTGTACTGATATTGTATGTGAAGTTCAGACTTCAATTGTCAAACTATTTTTTCTCCCAAGTAGAAATATATATTTTGTTCCATTCTTGTGCCTTCATTGAACTTCACTGTCACTGTGACTTTAATGGAAACTAAAGTTGGGTAGGATATAAAACAAGTGTTACACCTGATCTTGTCACTTTCTAATCAGTATGTTAGGGTTAGATGCCTGCTGGTCATGAAAGATGCAACGTAAGTGCCAGTAATTTCCTTTATTTTCTTTTACACATTCTCCCA